TAGTAGGCTTCTTGGTTCAGTGTCACTCATGGTTAGAAAAAGTGAGTGATCTTATTGAGTGCCATATACAATGACGTTCGTGCATGTACTCTGTTTCTTCACACATCTAGTTTGTCTGTATTCTATTTCGTTTGACTGGTACTGGTCTCAATTTTTCACATTTTTCCGCTACCCCTTTATCCAAATGGGCAGGCAAAATACAGCTACCAAAGCCACCGCAAGAAAACGTAACGTATAACTTGAAACGAACTAGCAGTATGCCTTTTGACTTCAATCTTGTCGACTCCATTCAATATAAGGTACGACAATTTCAATGCAAGATGAATTATCAATTACAATTAGAATCCCTCCATGTGGCGGTTCAACCACTGAAAGCCCCTCGCTAGTTTTTCTCAAAGCCGCAATTTACTTCAAAAATAATGTATTTGCAAACCTGTACAGAGACAATGGTCACAGACTGACGGTCACTCGCTATCCGAAGCTAAATCACTGACCCATCCATTCATTGCACCCAGTTTGGGAAAATCCGCATTTGACTGACTCAGTGTTCGTAGGCACTTTTGAACCGATTTGATCGACTGGGCCAGGAGCTAGTAAAATATGAGAAACAAACGGAGTAACTGTGTAGTACACGTGAGATTACAAGACATTACAGACTTTATATATATATATATATATTTGTTTGTATGGGTGTGTGTATCTATATGAAATCCGTTATGTGATATCCATCACTCGATGACTGATTTCAGTTGCATATGTTGTTGGAGCTGATAACGTTCTTATCGATTGACTGCTTGGTGCTTGAGCGTTGGTTGTCAGTTACCACGATCGCAGAATAAGACGCCATGACCTTAGGACTTGCACTTATCACACACACAAACACACACCACAAACACACTTCAGTACGACAAATAGCAAAAGGAACGAATATTGTAGCCCCGTTAAGCTACACCACTGTAGCATGCGATCGAGCATTCACCTACTCATCGCGAATCATTAAGCAACAGTGGATAAACAAATTTCAGAATCTATATGCAATTTTGATACGATTGTTGTTTCGATCTATATTCCACCAGAGGGATATAAAGAGCATGAGAACGAGGTTCAATTTTCTGTTCCTTATCCTACTGATGAAATATTAGGTTGGGCGGCTTCTGCAGTTCACTGTGAATGGTTTAAATATACTTCATACAACACAATCAAAAAAACAAAATAGAAATCTTGGGAGAGGGAGCTTGTATATTTGTTTTGTTTATTCAGAGATCTGGGTCTTTACCACTGATATTATCAATGATAATAAACAGTTTGAAATATACCTCCTAGATGGACCTGATGACCTAGATGACCTTTGTTGGTGAAAATGACTCAAGCAGTTTGGCCAACGCCACGATTTGCGCATGCCCGGGTTATACCAACCACTTCTATGGGATTGAGATGGATTATAAACCATCGATGCCAAATCAGAATACAGTTCAAACAAAAGTGAGGGAAAGCGCTTTATGTAAACAATTTTTTTTCGTAGTTTATCGACATCAAATTTTTGGGGGTCGGGTGGTGCTTTTACATCGCTAAAACAGCTTCTTCACTTTTCTGCTGGAAAAAACACTGAACTCGAAAATTCGGAATGGGAAAAGACATGCATTGTTCCAGATTACCAATGATAACATTGCGACTTTGAATATACCTTGTCCTGTGCTTGTATTAATTCGCCCGGTGTGATTGAGTCCACTAGATAGTTGGGTTTCGGATGACATATTTCGTGAGCCAATCGGGTCACCTCGATTGCGTAGTGATGCTGCAGACTAGCCACTTCCCACAAACTACTTTCCATAGCACCAGATGTAGTCAGATTGGATGGATTCCATTTATACGGATCACCAATGGACTAAGTATGGGATAGAAAACGAGAGGGATAGAAAATATGTGCCATATATAAGCTCTTCCTTTAGAAGTCTGGATGATAAACGCAGAAAACAGCATTGCAGGCGTTTTTTTTATATTTTACATGGTTTCTTTTGAAGGGGACGTTATCGCGTGAAGAAGTTCGTGAAGAATTTCGATTGCATTTACTGGTTCGCTTCGATTCATTTGTCGAGAGAGTGGAAAACAAGGAGAGAGAAAAACTCAAGAACATTATCAAAACCGCAAGTTCGAGTATTGGCTTGAATCGCAAAGGCAACAAAACTCAATGGAGAACTCTCAGATGCACGATCAATAGCTCGAACGCGTGGACCTTATCCATTTCTATATTTCCTCAAGTAACCTTTAAAAGGTCAGGAAAAACTTCCACAAAGTTGACCGCACGTTTGCATACCCAATAAATACTTCATTCAGCTTAATTCAGCATGTGATTTCGAGATGGTATAAGGATGCGTAAAGAAAGTGAGCAGCAAACTCGCATAAACATGAATGAAACCGGTAACAAAGCAAGATGTCTACCTGATGGTTCACTTCCATCTCTGATGAGTCGTCTTTTGGTCGGGGACGTTTCCTTCGATGAATCAGGAAGGCACACTTGGGATGACGTTTCAGTCCGTTTCGCACAAGAACTAGAAAAGCCGGTGTGAGTCGTAATGGACTGATCAAGGCAAGTTGAGACAGGCGCTTGAGGAAACCTGCGACAACATGGGTAGCCAAATGCCTAGAGAAATTCGGTAGGATGGAATTCCGATTAATGCCAGTATAGCGGTGGAACGAATAAACCATTACTAATTTCGGCTATTTTCTAAGTAGCCCCACAGAGCACATTTAAAAAAGAACAAAGGGCGGAATGCAATCGTATTCGTGCCAATCCGAAGAGGAAATTAATCCCAAATAATCTATGATCATTTCTCCCTTCCGAAAAACAACTTTTTTATAAATGAGTACTGATTATATATATATATATTACACCGGCTTGTGAACAAGCATGGTACCAACGCCAAAACAATATTAATAACAATAATAGAGGATAGGTAGATTGGGGTACACAGCAAAGTGGAAAGAGGGTGAAAGAGTTGAATACGGGAAAATGGAGGATAACTGGCATAAAAAAATCCTTTGTGTAGTTCACCGTACACTCTGTCATATTTTTTTGTTATTTTTAAGGGGCAAAGGATTTCGACAGGCAGACCGCACAGCACTTGCGCCATTGACTTCTATTCTGGGCCATATCTCTCAGCGTCTCTAACCAACCACAGTCCTCTCTCTCTTCAGCCCCAAACGAAGCCAAAGCTGAAGCCAGGTTCTTCATGCCTCTAGCCCATGTTATGGTCTGACCGCCGCAGCGCTTCTTCCATCCTCGTCCGGCCCGTGTAAACAGAGCACGGAAAGGTAGTCCATGGGCAGGCATACGCAATGCGTGACCAAGCCATTGGAAGCGGTGTAGAGCGATTATTTCCGTTAGAGAACGACTATCCGCACCCAATACACGACGACGAACCTCGTAATTACTCACCCGATGTTCCCACCAGACACGAGCAATGCCTCGGAGACACTGGTCGTCAAATACAGAAAGCCGATTAACATCCTCAATGCACAGGGGCCGGGTCGTGCAGCCGTAAAGTAGAACGCTACGAACCGCTGCTCTAGCTTTCGCTATTCGTGATGTGCCCTCCTCCCCAACATCCCCACCAGCTGCGATCAAGCTCCGGAGGTACTTAAAGCTCTCAAATACTTCCAACTGGTCACCACAGAGGGTGAGTGCAGGCACAGGCTCCTGCCAGTCTTGAACAAGCACTTTGCACTGATGGTGCCGAGCACATACCATACCTGGATACCTCTATTACCAAGCGGTTCAAAGCCTGTTGGACTGCCTGTGTGTTATTACCCAGCAAGGCGATGTCATCGGCATACTCCAAGTCAAGAACTCTGTTCCATGGGAGGAGTTTGACTCCACCATTTGCTAGACCGGACAAAGCATTCTGTAGAACATCCACAATGCCGAACTACTGAAAACGAGTTCGTTCGTCACTCCCTGGTTTACCACCAAGAAACAATCATCAGCGATTGGAAGGAGTAGAGCAAGAATATCGCAAATCATTTTTGTTTTACACATCTGTGTACGATAAACAGCAGACGGAGTAGACCTGACTGGACCTACTGTTTGTCGGGAAATCAGCCTAGTCTCCGAAAACAACCAATCAATCAGAAAAAAGACATCCTAACTCAAGTGATTCATCGGAACCGACCGCTAATGAAAAAAGTTGACAGTGATCCCATCAATCGATTTTGATATGAGAACAGTGAAGCTCGATTCATTGTATTTCGCGGTACGATGATTGATGATTGATGATGATGATGATGATTCGGATGATGATGATTCGGATGATGATGATGATTCGGATGA